CTGCCACTTCATGTGCATGTTGTCCCATGCTTCGATTCTGTATAACCCCTTCCTATTGCCCTAGAGTTATCCGGTGGTGGGCCGGCTCTGCTCTTTCTGGACTCAGCATGTGCTAACCAGCAAGGTTTGGGAAGGAGTTTTCTGAGAGGCCTGATTATGACACAGGTTCAGGGAGCCAACAAAGCCACCTGTTCTCACCCTTTCAGGATGTCCTCACGGTAGTGGTGGAAGACCTGCGGCTCTGTACCGTCAAGCCGTGTGAAGACATAGAGAGGAGGTTTTGCTTTGAGGTCGTCTCACCTACGAAGTAAGTTTGGTGGCTTCCCTAGGCCATCCTCATGGTAGCTGGACTGTGCATGGAGCTGCAAGAGATCAGATTTGAGCAGATGCTGCCCTGGGCTATTAAATGTTGACTGGGAGATACCAATGCCGGTACTCCAGAGTCCCTGTGAAGTTCATCAGACATCAGCATAAGCCAGATCTAGGCCACACGTACCTAATATACATACAGACAGTGAAACTAGCAATGGCCTTTTCAAAACAGCTAGCAGACCTGCCTGGAATTTTTGAAGAGGGAACACGTCTGACAGTGCAAGCTTGTAGGATTAATTTTTGCCCCTTCGCCTGTCAAATCAAGGTGCTGCCCCCATTGGAATGTCTGTGCTGAGGATGAAGTGGAACAATTTTGACCAAAAAGTGCACGCTGTCCTTTTGCTCTTTCCAACTCATTTCTTTCTTTCACAGGAGCTGCATGCTGCAGGCTGACTCGGAGAAGCTGCGTCAGGCCTGGATTCAGGCTGTTCAAGCTAGCATTGCTTCTGCGTACCGGGAGAGTCCTGACAGCTACTATATTGAAGTGAGTGAGGAGGTCATGGAAGATCCATAATTGTGTCTCAGAGCCCTGACAGTGGGCTTTTGGGCTGTGGCATGTCCAGTGTGCATGGGTGGACCATTTGGAAATACTCTTCTGCCCTCAAGGAAAGGAGCCCATGTCAGTGCCAACTCAAAGGCAGCAATTGTTCACCAACCGAAGCCACGCTTACAAAGCTGGGCTGAGGGAAAGGCAAGGCTTTAAATCAGTGTTGTCCTGACATCTTCCTTTTCTTGCCATTACTCTCTGGATTGATGTTCCCCTAGGAATTATGTTCCCTTGGGAAGAGCTTGCTCCCTAGCTGGGACAAGTGCAAAGCAAGGCACCATGACAGCAAGTAGCTTGCCAGGCGATGCTCTGGCTGCAGCCCACACTCCCAGAGCAGGGATGGGGTGCAGCGCCGTCTTGTGGCAATAATAGAGATTAACGAGGCTTTACCCGTTCCCTTCTTGGACTCGCCCTAGTTTATTCTTCTTCAGGTAATGCTTCCTGTCAGTGCCTCTGCTATGCAAAGCTCTGCTTCGTTCTGCAGTGCTTTGCAGAATCCTAGAACCCTTTTTTTCCCTGCAGAGACTGGACCGGACTGCTTCCCCGTCAACTAGCAGCATTGATTCTGCTACCGACTCCCGGGAGCGCAGTGTGAAAGGAGAGACCATCTTGCAGAGAGTGCAGAGCATCCCTGGGAATGACCAGTGCTGCGACTGTGGTCAGCCGGATCCTCGCTGGGCCAGTATCAACCTGGGCATTCTGCTGTGCATTGAGTGCTCCGGTATCCACAGGTACTGCGTGCATGTGTGCTCTGTGCTGCCAGCCAGGGATGGATTGCAAGCTCCTGTAAAAAACGGTGGAGCCTGAATTACAACTGACTATAATGTTTGTACAGATAGATTAAAAAGTAATTGCTGTGGCACCTGTGTGTGCAGGTACATCTGTGTATGCATATGCATAAAACTCTCTGCTATAGCTACGTCTGTATAGATAAATACATAAGAACTGGACTGATCTTGTTCATCTTATGATGCATGAGCAGTTCTGTTTTAAGGCATGTAACCATTTCAGTTTTCTTCCTTTTGGATAAATAGGAGTCTGGGTGTTCACTGCTCCAAAGTCCGATCTCTCACGCTGGACTCCTGGGAGCCAGAGTTACTGAAAGTGAGTGTTGGCTTTTAACAGCAAGAGGTGGGCAAATGGCGGACGTGGAGGGAGTCTTACTTGGTGGCGGGCTAGACTAGAGGGAAGGTACCTCCTCACCTGAGGATTTCATTGATTCCCTGTTGTATTGCAGCTGATGTGCGAGCTGGGGAACAGTACCATGAATCAGATTTATGAGGCACAATGTGAAGAGTTGGGACTTAAGAAACCAACAGCAGGGAGCTCCAGGTGAGTCCGGGTGCACACACTGGTCCTCTGAGTCCTGTAGAAAGCCATCCATCCACACAGTAAACCCAATACCCTAAGCTCTCTGGGAAGTCAGGTTAAAAGCGTGACTGGCCCTTCACTGAGGGCCCAAACTACCTCAGGTACACCTACCTCAGCCCACTCCCTCTGTAGCTAGCCTGAGCTTGACTCTCGGAAAGGTCAGTGGGGCATTACCAGCCAGCAGCCTGGTGAAACGTGCTTGGGAACCAGGGCTTGCTGGGTTTACACCTGCTCTGAGACCTTACAAATACATGTAACTGAAGCACATGGTATTGCCTAGGGTTGAACATTGCATTCTACTCTCAGCTACACACCGCGCTACTTAATTTTGCTTTGAAATGGGAGATATTTTTAGGTTTGTGAAACTATTCCTTCTTAATACAGGCCTTAATGATTTTTAGGACTCAAAGCCAGGTTGATAAAATGACCCAGAGCAGCTTCATCTCCTTGGGGCTGTTTGCTTTAGGCGAATCATGTGAGCCTGTGCACAGCTTTATGCTGTTCTTCTCTTAGGCAGGACAAGGAAGCCTGGATCAAAGTGAAGTATGTGGAGAAGAAATTCCTGAAGAAGCTGCCAAATGGGGAGACTCTAACAGAGAATGAGCGGAAACCTCGACGCTGGTGTGTGAAGAAGTGCCAGAGGCACAACAGCACCACGAAAGCACCCACAGCTCGTAGAAAGTACCGCCATGAAGCAGGCAATGCCTCACCAGCCATGTTGTCGTCAGGTGGGAACCTCCCTTGCCCCGCTCCCCCTGCAGACCTGTGTTGGCCTGCCCATGCCCCTTTGTAGGTGTGTACACAACTGCCCTAATAACATGTGTGGCCCTGTCTTTCTCTAGGACCTGCAGCCTGCCAGAGGTATAAGCAAAAATGCTGTTGCACAAACCGTGTTGACACAGGTCTTTAGAGCCATTTCCTAACATTTTCCATCTGTTTAAGGAGGTTCTTGTGGCTAAAGGAGGAGATCGTTATGCTAGGGTGATCCAGCAACTTCTAAGCTTGCTTTGTGCATTTTCTTTTGTATCCCAGCTTCCTGCTTTTAAAAAGTTTCAAATTCTTTTATTTTTACCTGCCTGGTCTGTAAGAGAGGCCATGCTTACGAAGGGTTCTGGCTGCTCAAAATGCTCTGGGATGACTTGGTCTGCAGTGTGTACCCACCTATGGTCAGCTCTTTGTTATATTTTGATGGTGTACGTGGGCATGAGTATGGCACTGGACACATCTGGGGTGCATTGGACATGCATGCTCAGCCTGTGTAAATACGGATGTCGAACTGTGTCTCATTTGTTCACTTGCATGTTATTAACTATGTATTTCAAAATCTCTCTTTGTAAAATAGCAGCTACGCTGGAGAGGAAGTTCCGTCGAGATTCCCTCTTCTGCCCTGATGAGCTGGACTCTCTCTTCTCCTACTTTGACACTGGTGCTGGCTCCGGCCCACGCAGTAAGTACAAAGAAAGAAAATGTCTCTGCTTCTGGCACGCTTTACCTCCCAGCTCTTCTAGGGCATGTGCGTTGCACCAGACCTAAGGCAAGGTATCGGCCTCACTGGAGAGAGGGTAAATATTTCAGAAGAGTGATGGGAAGTTAGTTGTACAAACTCCAGCCCATTGCTCTTTTATTGCACTTATTATTTTAATATCCTATCCAGTCAGTCCCTGGTGTTTGCATTCTGGTGGATGGGATTTTTTTCCCAACATCTTTTACTCCCAGACTATGCATTCCATTGGCTTTTTTCTGGTTTTAGTTTTGGCTTTTAATTTTTTTCCTTTTTTAGCAAGTCTTACTGCGGACAATTTTTCTTTTTGTGTTTGTGACGATGAACTCCCCTCATATTCCGTCCACCTTCCTCTAGGTGCCAGCCACATCTCTATGCAGCATCCGCTAACAGGTGGCCCATGGAGTGGCAGTGGCATTGGTCCCGGTGGGAGCGGTACGCCGTTCCTCCTGGACGGAGGTAAGGTGACGCTCTGGCAGCTAGCAGCAAAAGAGACACCCAAATTTTACTTGTTCCAAACCAAGCTTCAGAGGCAGTTATGTATTTTCTTTCAGCCAAATGATTGGAACCCATACATTAACCAGTCCCTTGTGGGAGAGGCAGGCTGGCAGGCTTTCAAAAGGCAAAAAGCTTCCTAGGGTTTCCAGCAGTGAAGTGACTACATCTTAAAGGAACAGCTGTCCCTCAGATGAGATAAAAACCTGTACATGTGGGATCTCACGGCAAATACGAAGTAAGAAGTCTTTACTTCAAACGCCCCACATCTGTCAGCGGCTAGTCGTGTGGTCCACTATCATACTCAGCTGAGCAGTGGTAACTTTTTAGAACTTAGCTCGGTCGCTTGATGTTGTGTGAACTTAGGAGAAATATTTAAGGTCCTGAGTCAGCACAGCAGAAAATCATAGGCTTTCCTACAAGTACATGTTATCTCTTGAAATCAGTGAAGAAAGTGCTTTAGCGTTTGTCTGAATCACTGCCTTAAGGGCTATTCCAGTTTGAAGGAATTCAGCATTATTAGTCAACAGAAACAATACTTGGGAGATGCAGGACTTCAGAGCTGCTCAACAGCCTTCTCTTGCTCCTGTGGAAGAAAATAGGATTTTTATCACTGATTCAGTGGGAACAGAACTGGGAATCTGACGTATTAATATTCATGTGATATGAGCCAGATCCTTCTTTTTTGCTTTGATGTAAATCTAGAGCAGTGCCAGGTGGCCTCATTGGAGTCACTCTTTACTTGTAGTGACATAATGGAGAGCACAGTCTCACCAAGCAGTGTGTTTGCTTTCTACAAAATACAGCAACGATTTTTCTGACAGCAAATCCAGAAAAGGTACGCGTGATATGTGCCACTTTAAACCTGTCCTGTTGTAGCTTCCTTACCTCCTTTGGCTGTTGAACGGTGCTGAAGGATTACTTGTGAGCCATGATTTCGGGACCACTGATTTAGAGACTGTTCTTTATCTGGGACCTAGCTGTAGCTGCTCTGAAGATTCCAACAGACAACCTTTAAGGTTAAGGTGTCTTGTTCTGCTAGGGTTTTCAAGGCTCAGATCTTTAGTTCTCGCAGGCTTTCCTGCTATTACTCTTTGCAAAGACTACTCAGCTCATATTTTAGAAACACTTTGTCAGCTGCAGCCTGGCTTGTTTTTCTTTCTAATCACAGCGGTTTGAGTGTAGGTCTTGGGGTAGATCATGGGGACTTAACGTCTTGAGTTCTGGGACAACAGACACTCCCAGCCCTTACGGTCATTGGGAAATTAAAAGCAGCAAGAAGCTGAGTCCAGCCAGAGTTCCCAAGGGGGCCAGGCACCCCTCAGGACAAAGGTGATGGGCCATCCCTGTTCCCGCAGGGGCAATTCCTGCACGTGCTTCTTCCTTCCTTTCTGTCATTTTCTCGACTGCTTTCGGGTGCGAGCTGGAAAAGGTACAAACTTGCTCTGCCAGTGGCACGTTGTGTGTCCTCGGACAAGTTGCTTCATCCCTTCGTGACTCCATTTCTTGTATGTAGTCAGCTGTCTTGTAACGTTCACCAGCTAAGCAGGGAAGGTGGGAAGCCCTGTGGGGAAAGGGAAGGGGTGTCTGTGAAGGTGAATGAGCCAGTGGACAATGCTTTAAGGGTTTGGCTTGAGATACACACTAGTGATATTAATTGTCCCAGGCGTGGTCAATAATCTGCCACAAGAGCAATGCATTGGCAAGTGCCCCAGTGACAACTGAAAAGCTCTGGGGAGAGCACGGATAGAGTGGAAACCGAGATTATTAGTGGTAAAAGCAGAGGGGTGTCTTTATTTGCTTATGACACTGCATAACCTGCTGCAAAGCTGTCATTGTCTTAAGGATGCTCCAGTCTACGTCACGGCGTCCCTCATGGATTGCAGCAAGGGCTGTCCTCAACAGTCCAAAGTGCCATGGCAATGTTGGAGCATCCCTGCATGAAGGGCAGCGTGGGGACATGGACACCATAAGGCTTTGCAATTTTTCCTTGGGCAGTTTTATTGAGTGGGGCTAAATGGGATAGCAGTCCCCCTCTCCCTTGCCAGCAGTGCCCGGTGCAATGTGTGTGTGACATTCTGCGCAGCCCTTTTCCCCTGTGGTCTCAGCTGTGCTTGGTACTGGAATGCCTGTGTATTAAAATGGGTTTGGTTTGTTTTCTGTTGGCCCTGCAGGTCTGAGCAGTGACAGTGGGCTTGGAGGAAGCACAGATGGCAGCACTGATATCCTGGTGTTTGGCTCTGTGGTGGACAGCGTGACAGAGGAAGGTGGGTGTCACAGGCTGTCGATGGAGGTGTGGGGAGGCAGCTAGTGCTAAGGCAGGATGGATGGTCAGGACTGTCTGGTGCCAAGAACAACAGGGAACGTAAGAAACTGGAAATGTGAAGCTTTTGGGTCATCTCTCTCCATCCTTTTCTGCCTCTTAGAGTGCGAGGTGTCAGAGGAGTCAAGTGGTGAAGCAGAGATTGAACAGGAAGCGTCAGATTTGGAGGACCTGAGGGAGCTGCATCCTGGCTTGTTGATCTACAAGGCAGCACAAGCCCGAAACCTGCCTCTTATGGCAGAAGCACTGGCACATGGTGCTGAGATCAACTGGGTGAATGATGAAGATGAAAACAAAACTCCTCTCATTCAAGCTGTGATGGGGGTACGTTGTGCTAGTGGCTGGGAGGCCACATTTGGGAATGTGAGATCTTGGCTCTAGTTCAGAGTGCACTGACGCCGGGCAACTTACAGCCTGGTACGTGCTCATGCATCCTCTCAGTACTGCTGGCTGAATTTATTTAGAAATTCCCCTTTACCTTGCCAGGGCTCCTTGATAGCCTGTGAATTCATGCTGCAGAATGGGGCAGATGTTAACCAAAGAGATATCCGAGGCCGGGCTCCCTTGCATCATGCCACGTACCTAGGGCATACTGGGTAAGTTCTTTGCACGTTGCTCTGACATGCTGCATCGCCCTTGGATTGAGATTCAGCGTTAACACCGAGAGTCATGGGGTGAGGTGGGCAAGGGAGCTGGGTTTTGTTGAATTGGTTATTTGCAAAACATGCCTTTTTATATCACATCAACAGCTTGATTGTCTTAAGGATAATTGCCCCCATGAATATAGATAGGGGGTAATTGGGCCCCCGTACACCCATTCCTTTCTCCATGCCCTGCAGCGTTTCCTGATTATTTTTTTTTAAGACCAATCCAAGTGAAGCTGTACCTGCCTGTGGAAGGACAGTGCCCTCTGCCTACTCCAGTGTGGGGTGGGGGAGCTGGAATTTCTGCTCTGATGGTCTTTTCTTTCCCTTCTGCAGCCAGGTCTGCTTGTTCCTCAAGCGAGGGGCAAATCAGCATGCGGAGGATGGCGATGGGCAGGACCCGCTCAGTATTGCTGTCCAGGCAGCCAATGCAGACATAGTTACCTTGTAAGTGCAGCCAGGGCTTTCCAGTGCCTATATACAGGAACACCGCCTGTAAATAGCCATCAGGGAAGGAATAACCAAACCTCTCTCCCTTGTGCTTTCTCTGTTTCGCTCTAGGCTGCGTCTGGCTCGGATGAACGAGGAGATGCGAGAAGCAGAGGGCCCCTTTGGACAACCAGGTCAATATCCCAGCAACAGCCCCACTGAGCTGCAGTACAGGAAGTGTATACAGGAGTTCATCAGCCTTAATATAGATGAGTGTTAGTGACAACTCCCCCACCTCCCCTTTGCTGTCTTGAAGTTGGGCTGAATTTCTAGAAGCCCCGAGAGCCCCATCCTTGGTATATTGGTGTTTCTTGCAGACTGGTCTGTTTTTGATGCCTGTACATATAGGTTGAGATGCACACAGGAGGGAAAAGGGGTCTTTCCTGTTAGCGTTAAGTTCTCATGCTTGACTACTGGATGGTTGATTTTGTGTAGGAGACTCCTAGGGCATAACCACAGACCATGGCGTGTGGACTTGAGTGTGTGAAAAGTATGGGAGGCGAGTTTAGCATTTAAAAAAAAAAAAAAATTAAAAAAAAGAGGAGAAGAAAAGGAAACCCTCTATCACCAGGAGAAAGCCACCAACAATACGATCAGACGAACCTGTCTCTGCTTCAGTGTAGTTACCATGCACTGAGTTCTCGTCTGAACAGTTTGTTTGGAAGGGATTCTGATGTGGAGCCCTCTCCTGGCAGCGTGACCAGCAGCCTGCTCTCTCACGGGACTGCTGCAGCGTCTGGGAGCTGCTGGGGCTGGTTTAGAAAACTAAAAGATGACCTCTAAGTCAGGAACAGGCTGTTTTGTAGAGCAGAGATATTTTGCTCCAGAAGGCACAACAGAAGGGGTAGGGTTGAGAGTGATGGCTACTCACCTTAATTGCTCTCAGGACTATACCAGCCATGCTCCCCTTTTTTTGCCCGTGGTGGTTAGCTGGTCAAAGCCATAGCTCGCCTGCTTCCTGGGCCAAGATGCAATCTGCACAGTGTTACGGAAGCAGCAGTGCTAATTTTTTGAGGCTGGGAGAAGCTTGTCGCTGGCGATGGGCTTTGTGTCAGGGAAGAAAAGCCACGTCCAACTCCCACTGCCTAAATGGCTGGCTGCACGATGCAATTTGACTTTGGTTCAGTTGGTTTCTTGGTCACTTCAGATTTCTGACTTAGCATCTCTGTGAAGGAGACTTCCACCTGCATGTGTACCCCTCTGTGCTCTCCCCCCGCATGCTGAAGCATGTGAGTAGGGCATCTCAGCAGCTGGCCCAGGGGCTTTTGAGTTCCCCAATTCCAATGACCGGCAGAATCTTCTTCTTTTTGTTTCTTTCCTTTTTCTTGTATTACTCTTTGCTGGAGTGGAGGAATGTGTTTCAACTTAGAGCACTTTGTTGCTATGTTTATGGACTGTGTTACGGGGATCATGCTACAGTAGCTCTGCAGAGATGCTGCAGCCATGTAATCCTGTCTCAGGAGGGCTCACAGAGCACACATACCACTGGCAGGTTATCCTCTGGCTGGGAATTTGGATGCCGAGCTGAGATGTGCTCCTGTAAGAAACTCTTCAGAATGCCCTCAACTGCAATTAACATCAGTTTTTTCAGGACCCATGGGTGGCAGTCCACAACTGGTATTTAGCCTGCCTGGGCACCTAGGCTGCTGGCTCTGGGGTTGGGCCATAGTGCCTTACGGATAGTGCTGGGATCTTGAAGGGATCAAGATCTCGCAAGGAACGCAAGAATACCAGGCAGAGTTCCCCATCCTCCTGCATTACATCAGCAGAGATACACAGTCATAATATTTTTCATCCAATACCTGTTTGACGACGTTTTTTGTTTGTATACTGACTGCTGTCATGCAGCAGCCCGTAGTGGATTAAACCTTTGCGGGTTCGTTTCTGTTGACATAAGTGTGTCCTCGGATACTGAAGCAGCAGTGATCCAGCTCTTCGCTCCAGATACTGCCCTCAGAGGCTGAACCAACAGCACTCAGTGTCCACCCACATATCTAAAAGTGGAACAGTAAAGAAACTCCACTTAGACTCTAGTAGGGTGTCCTCTCAGTTCAAGGGAGAGTCCCTGCTTCCTTAGGAAAGTGCTGTCCTGTATTTTGCTGCAGCCAGACCACGGTTTTCTGTCTCTGCAAGCTGGATATTGAAGTCCATCTTTGTCTTGTAGCTTTCTCATTCCTGTTCCCTTTGGAGCTTTGGGATGCACAGTACCAAGTGCTGAGTTCTGATCTCAGTCCCAATTGTCTGTTGTGAATCTGAAATGGTCCTAGTGACTGTGCTGAAACTGCTGCAGATCAATGGCAGTGCAAAGTCTGGCCCCAGGGCCTTTTGTGCTTCCCTAAATAATGGAGAAGCTCCTTCCATCAATCTTGGAAAATAAAAATTAACGAACTCGGCCCCACCAGCCTTTTTATCATTCGCAATGCCTTTCATGGCATTTTCTCCATCTCCCCCATCTGTCCCGAGAGGCCAGTGCTCTGCACGCAGCATGCTGCTGCTTAACCCCGCGTCATGCTGCTTCTCACCCCGGTCTGTCGAACCCCTGCCGATTGACAGCGTGCCGATGGGCTGTGGGGGGAGTGCATCGTGCAAACTTGCATTCTCCCTTCTCAGCTGTTCAATGCCTGGTCTGAAACTATCCTGTAGTCTTTGACCAGGCGGTACTCCCTCTGAACTCTCCTCCGAGTAGAAGCTGTAGGATGTGCCCATTAAGTTGGCAGAGGGCAGATCACTTGGTCTGTATTCATATTCTGTTCAGCTGTGACACCCTCAGGAGTGATTCAGGACTGCATGTGGGATGAAGCAGTGTGGCATAAAATGCCATCATTGCTGCAATGCAGTTTCAGAGGAATGCTAGGATGTATAAATCCTTAGTTCGGAGGACAATTTCCTTGTTAGTAGGGACCGTGTTCTGACTGTAGCTCCCACATGTGACTCTGGAGTGATACCACTGAACGAAGAGGGCTGACTACAGGCATACACCTGTGTAAGTGATACCAAACGTAGGCAGATGTGCACTGTGCATAGCTGTTGCTGCGGTGCTGCTACGTGGTCTCCTTCAGTTCACGTTTAATACGCCCTGGGTTAAATAACCTTTCTTCCTGATACCCATGTGAAGGTATAGCCAGCATCACTGCCCACTCAGCATTTCTTGTGCCAGATTACAGGAGGTTACCACTTTACATTCCCGTGGAGCGTCATCTTTCAGTCCTTTGCATTGAACTTTGTCTTCTTTCTGGTAAAAGTCACCCTAAATTTAAATGGGCTTCCCCACTGAGAAGGGTGATGCCTTCACTTGTGCGTCGCTGCCCCGTTTGACACCCCTTCCTTGTCAACACTACCAGCTGGTGGTAGTGTTACTATCAGTCTCAGCGGGCTCAGGAGCAAATCTGTAGCGTTGCGAATCATCTGTGTTAAATGCCCTGCAGACCTCACCGCTCCGTGCAGAGCTCAGATGGTGTTGGATGGTGGTGTCCAGCGAAATGAGTCGTGGTGCTGGGCAAAGCCCTTAAGCACGCGTCTGCCTTCAG